ATGAGACAATCTTACGACTCCTAACTTTTATGAAGAATATGCTAAATTCTCAGTATATTCATTATTACAACCATTTCGTGTCTACACTTATTTTAGATTCACGTGAATAACGTAATTGAAAGATTGCTGCATGGCACCACTTACAAGCCGATCCAACTTGTTCTTAAAGTGCTCTCACCGCCATCCAGGGTCAACGCCACTAGCTTAGCTCAGGACCGATGCCATCAACTAACTCAAAATTCCGAAAATTGCCTATCACTCCGCTTGGCTCGTGAATACCTCTTCTCTTGTCTCGCCAGTTTAGTGGGCGGAATTTCGGTCGGTTGCGAAAGCACTTATCAACCCGGCTCCTTAGTTACCTTACGGAAGTCCGACGGAAGTCGAATGAATCGCCTACTTGATTATATTATTTTCATATCGGAGCGAATTTCAATGCTAGCCATCAAGCAAGCTGAATTTGCCGATGAATTGTCTAGTACTCTTGTCTCAACTGATATCGTGAGTGACAGGAGCGATAAAAATGCTATGTACCGTTTGATGAACCAACTACTTTACTTGTTTCTTTGCTGCACATGCTAATAACTTATATCATTGGATTTCTTACATTATTGGAATATTTGTGATTGTATTTCCCAGGTGACTTTAGACTTAAAACATTCTAGCTGTGAAGACCAAGATGGTGTGACCTTTTATTTGGTCGCAATCTTCTTTGTATTTATGATATTTTTTGATCTTGTTTTCGCAACTTGGTCGAAGCGACAGCGAGACAGAGTTACAACTTATCAGTGACAAGTGAAGGCAGTCCCATTGACCAATTTTCTGTTCGACCGTTGTAGCATCACTCCTTCCCACTTTATGCCATAGCTTCGAGTGCTACATTCCTTTCTCTCAACCCAACTTCATATGGCACATTTCTTTATCCACACCACTGTGTTTTTGTTTCCTCCAATTTCGCTTAAGACTGTCGAACCAAATGGATTTAGTGAGGCATACTCATTTTCGCCATTGGCTTCAGATATCGCTTCCATGGCTTCTGGGTCATGGTTTTTGACTTTACTTAGCCCTCTTCTAACCTGCTTGTCAGTTGCGAAAACGAAGTCAAGCCAACACTACAAATAAAGGAGCTAGCAGCCAAACAAAAGGCCATTCTTTCTTAACTTCATACCTATATTTTTAGCCTAGCACCTCTATTAGTGTGTAATTAGGATATTAATGGCCTTTGATTTCATATCTCAAGCCAACGGTCCGATGCTAAACATCATCATGAATGATATGGCAGAGGTAAGTACCACAAGGTCCATCGCTCCGACCAAGTTGCGAAAACGAGGTCATGCAAACATTAAAACGCGATCGTACAGCTTTCTTGTCTCGTATTTGGAAAATACACGTCTGAGATATATTGCTACTAGCTAGCGTGCAACACTGCCTAGATAGAAAGATCGTCCATATGAAGGGGAGGGTGGTGGCGAAGATATAGCCATATGAAATAGGACAGGGAGAGGAAAATGTTTCATAATCGCTTAGCTCAAATTTGGTCCAGTGAATTGCCTTTACTAGTTTCTTTGAGAATTATGGCTTGGTGTTAAGGCTGACCCTTCTCTCAGACATCCCACCACGACATCAGCAAAGCACAAAGGAATGTACCATGCCAACAGTCCGCTGCTGTAAACTATAATTAAATATTATGGCAGACGACGCGTTACTGGCTACTTTGAGGTCTCCCTAATATTACGACCAAGTTGCGAAACTAGGTTAACTCAGTTTCAAAATATTGTGCTATCGTTAGGCTCAAATAATAAGCCTTAAACTATTTATGCCTTCGATGATTTACTTCTCACATTTTATCTTAATTTTCATGTTCATTCTTTCTATTTTGTCTTCTTATTACCAATTCATTGGTAGCTTTCGCATCTTCATCCCTTTGTGCGACGCATTGTTGAGCACAACCTTTCTTCTGTGCCAAACTTGTGCAAGGCCGATTCTAGCAACGGAATGACCCATTTATTGGGTTTCTCATTCGATTGGTCTTCCGAATTCGGCCTCCCAAACCCCGAGGCGGCCATTGGCCTCTGTAGTCAACTCAGCTGGATTGAGAAGGATCCTTTTGATGTTTCTCGGCCTGCCAAATTAGGCAGTGGCGAAGGTGAATTTGACTCTTTTGAGTCAGATATTTCATCAGCAGTTGGCATTAAAGAGCTTTCGTCGCCATTACCATTGGCAGCTGCTCAGCTGCATAGTGGCTCTTGGGCTAGTCAAAATGGTCGCAATAGAGCCATTGAATCATTCGTTTTATCACCACCTGCTTCTCCATTTCAATCAAGAATTGCTTTTATTATCGGCACAAATAGGTCCACCCAGGATGTTGACATGCGCGACGGATCTAATACATCCTATCTTGCTAGCAAAGAGCCTACCCCTCTCATCGACCAGTCTGTCTCTGGAGCGAACTTGGATCA